AATAAAATTAAAAAAAAAAAAAAAAAAAATCGAAAAAGCTGAAAAGAGGGCTGAATGGAAAATTAAGGGTCGCCACCCAGCATCACATCGGTCAAATAAGACTTTTGATGCGCACGTATGATACATGCAGGTTCAAGGGGGAAAAACTTTACAAGATGAGGATAAAAATGAAGTTTCTCTATCTGCATCAGATTTCTGAACATTTTTTAACTTAAAAGGGGAGGCTGATTATAGTTTCCTTCATGTAAGTATCTGTGTAACTGTTTGATGAGCTAAAATGAGAAGAAAAACAAGCGCTTCATGTTGATTTACCTGTACTGTCTACTTAATTTGACGGTATCTGATCTTGGTTCCAAACCAGTGGCTGGACGTATTGACTGACCAGCAATGAATAATCCACTAGCCTCATTAACAAGTTTCCTCACAATGGGATCGAATAACACCACATCCTGGCGCAAGTAATGAACCTTCGAGTCGATTGGGGCTACTCCACTCCGCGAATCTGTGACAGGTTGATAGAAATGCAGGATTAGAGATTTATAACTTTCATGAAATGGAGATGTATCTACATTTATTTTCCCATTATTTCATTTGTATAGTGAAATGATGAAATTATTTGATTTGTGTGAAGGGAGAGATTACAGAAAAACCATGTAAAAGAACTAATTTCCTCCTGTCGCCTGATTCAGATAAATGAGCACTAGCAGGTGACTCCCGGACTACATACCTCAGTTTGTGAAGCTGTAGACTTCCTATCATACTTTATTTTTGAAAACTAGGAAGCTTTAATCAATGTCAATTCTTTAAGACTTCCTTGATTTTTGTACTCAATGCGAAAAAAACTTCAAGAAATGATGTTGATTTGTTCTCCTTCAAGAAAATAAAATGGAGGCAGAGATACAACTGAGAGGTACAATATCGCGAACAATACATGTGGTTTGCTAGTTCTGCTGTCAAAATGTGACCGTTCATTAGAGAAGGAGTACTTAATAGAAAAATCAACCTTTAATTATCAGAATTGCTATTTAAAGAGAGTATAAAAAAAAATGTGTAAAAATTGCATTTTAACCTAGGATAAGACAGTTGAAAGTAAGCAGTTTCAAATAACGTAAATTTCAGCGAGCTAAGTACCTACTTAAGGTTTTCATGCATCAAGTTCAGATTTCACAATTAGCAGAATACGTTGCAATATTATCATCTCTTGACACAAAAATAATCCAAACTCCTCATAACTCAACCTTAAGGCTACTTGAGACAGTTTCTTTTACCTGCCAAAATATTATTTTTCAACTTAACTTGACAAACACTCTCCTTAAAAATTTGTCTGCAGACGAGAATTGAAAACGTCTTTATAATGAGGGACTATATGATATTACTCTGGACCAAATTATTGAGAGTTTCAAATGACAACTTTAATGAGACTTGACTTACCAGGAGAATCTACGGTTTTGTGTTCACATGCATGGACAGCAAGTTTATCAATACCAACCCATTTGGCTGCCAGTCCAACCTGATTGCACGCGGGATCAGGGATTGTCTGAAAGCAAATGTAAAATACATGAGTGCTCTATACATGAGTAAAATACCTGAGAAAAATTTTAAAACAAATGCACCATAATAATTAAACTGCATGGTTCATATTATTTTTCCCCCGACATCTAAAAATACAGGAAATATTCAGGGGGAAAAATTATGGCAATTGCTTGAAATTGTTCGATTGCAAATAATGTGTTCAGAAGCTTATCATGGCAATTTTAGCAGCTTTACAGCGCTTTCATAATTTCACGAACCCTATTAGGAAAAACTTTTGGAACTAGTACGTATGTCCCCAAATGATATACTTTAAATCGTTTGCTTCTATCGAGTAAATGAATTATGGGTCAAAAATGAAAACAACACGAAGATGAGACTTAAATGTTCTGATTTTACTCTCTCATGAAGATGGAAGGTGGTATGAAATGTTAGAGTGAATCCTCTGTGTGAGTTATTTCTTAGCTCTTTTTCTGAGCAGCCCTCAATTCTGAAGCCCAATTCACACTATCAAACTTTTCATCCGACATAATCAATAAAAAAAATGGATGGAAAGTTGAACAAAGAAAAATGTGATTAAATTACTCTTCAAGGAACTTTCCATTCGATTGGCGCCGCCAATTTGATGCAAAATTGAAAGAAAAGTTGAATGTGACATCACGTTCAAGTTTCCATTCAATTTTTTATAAAATTGTCATTTTCTCATGTCAGTAATCACACTTATCAACTTTCCATTACGACAAGTTGCATTCAAGGTTGAACGCAAAGTTTGATACCTAGTGTGAATTGGGTAGAGTACCTGTATAGCGAGAGTATGGACAGATCGCTTCATGGAGGGCTTAGGGCCCAAAAGTGCAGCCACCCTTCTAACCAACTTCTAACGCACAAAATTTCACTGCCAGTCTGCAGGTTTCAATTCTAACCAAGATGGCCAAGAATGTACATAAATGAGCGTTCTTCCGCAAAATTGAGTAAATTTATGCAAAAACTGAGTCAAACACGTGCTTAATAAACGTCGGTTCGTAACAATAGTATTAGTAAATCGTTCTGGATAATTGAAATTCATAGGTTGGCTGCATTTCTGGGCCCTAACTTTATTCGCAGAAGCATCGGTGAAGGCCTGATGGACTTTCGGAGTTTCACATCTGTCCATACTCTCGCTATACAGGTACTCTAGAATTGGGTAGGTGTGCTGAAGATACACAAATTTCTTGGGTGTGCACAATACATGTCAGACCTTTTATGTAGATGGGATTTTAATCTTTTTCTTTTAGTTTGTATATTTATTTAAGAGGAGAAATATTCTGATTCAATGCTTTTTTATTTGATTATGACCCTACGGCTCACAAAAATAATCCTCCAAAGTCCAGTTCTAATAACTCATGATATTGTCTGACCTCCGGTAAAATTTGTCAGGCAGTTTGAGTAAATGCCTGTTAAAGTTTAACTAGCAGTCAAAAAGAGGTACCTAATAGCTCTACAATGTCGCACCTGGACCAGAACCCAGAAACCCCCAAAATAGTATTTTAAGACTCTTAAACGGCAGTGTTAGAACTGGTCTAAAGAGGATTTGTTGTCTCAGATTCCTGCAAGCCCTGCCATCATAATTTTTCTAAATTAAGTTAGTTTCAACTACTTTTGAGACCAAAATTGCAATTACCAATTCACTGCATATAAATTGCAAGAATTTCTTAGCTGATTATTTTAAGATGCAAGCATTCAGCTTTTGGATTTGCTTAGCGTTTATGCAAGCATTTCAAGCATTGTCGAAATCAGTCCACAAGAACTCTTGAATTAATTTTAAGTGTAACAGTGCACCAATCCAATTAACCCCACCAATTTAATTTTTATAGATAAAATACTCTGAAAGTTTATATTTATCTTCTCACAGACCAATCAAAGTAGTAGAGCTACCTCCATGAATGTGAATTAGAGGTGACTTTTCTCAACATTTAGTAAATGTTTCTGGAAATTTCCATCAATGTGTGACAGGTTTTTTGTCTCCAGGGAGACTTAACATGGATGAAAAATTTGATGCACAGAAATCAAGCTGGATATTTTCAACTTTTATTATTTGGGAAGCTCTAAGAAAATCTAGCTCGATTTTTTTTAAAGTATGAGTGGCACACACAGAGATTCGAAATCCGAGAAATTTCAGGTTTCTTCTTATAGTTTCAGCTTAAAATCAAAATAAACACAGGAAATTTTACAAGACAGTTAAATTTATACTTGTTTATTTATTCCATGTTGAGGTGAACAATTCTAAGATATTAAGAACACTGTTTCTTTTACACACAAGGAGTCTTCAGTGAAACAAGTGATAACCATAGAGCATTATATTAGATCCAAAATCCAGATTTATTGATTGTAATTTTTTCTACAAAATCTCAAGACCCCCCCCCCCCCTAAAAAAAAAAAACAATGGGAGGGGAGGAGATGGTGTACCTACACAAATCTACAGGAAATTAGAGGGTACATTAAAATAATTCTTAATAAAATGACTTAGTCGGTACATGGTTCTTTCTCATTGATGTTGCCATTTTCTGAAGCTGAATTTGCCTTTCCAACGGTTTTGTCAGTTAATACAACAAAATAAAACAAAAGGCAGAAAAAAGGGAACTGCAGAGCAGGTGATCGCACACTTGGGACCATTAGACGAGACTATTGTCACAAATCACAGAACCTCTAAGAGGAGAAAAAAACACACCACTAGCTGCTTTCAACTTCATTCAAGTGCTTCTCATACATTTTGAATGCATGAACCAATAAAGATTAGGTATGTCATCAAGTGTCACTGGTCTAGCACAAGATAATTCTTATAAGGCTTGGTGAGTTTTTTTTTTTTTTTTTTAAATAAAAAAAATACTATGCTGATCAATTAAAATAATAAATTGCAACAAAAATTAGAGAAGACCAAGTATTAACAGCAGCATTAAATAATTGCTGGAAAGAAACTGAGGGTGAGAAAGAAACATTTCTTGGGTACCTTACTATGACTTACATTATTTCAATATTAGAGAAGAGCTCACGACACCATCAAACAGAAAATTGAACAACTGAGGAGCAGTATTGATCGCAGACAAAGTCTTTGAATTAATTATACTTTATGAGCTTTTTTTTCTCTTTAAAATATTTTCTTCTCAAAATTAGAGGATTTTCTGACCAGAGGGCTCTTGAATCAGGTTTCAAGGATTTACTTTTTTGACTTGGTCCATTCAATATCTAATTCATTCTCATCACAGTTAACTACATAGGAATGAATCATGGTGTCAAACTAGCCTTTTTTTATTATAAGGGTATAACAATAACGCTGAATGTAATAATTGGGTGATAAGTGACATGAAATAGACTTAGAGATAGGCAAATGAACAGATCATAAGAACTTATGAAACTTCCAAATGAATCACTAAATACAAAAAGGGCACATGTCTAGAAAACCAAATTGTTCAGGAGACACAAAAAACTGTTTATTTCGTGGTAGATATTTTTTGGAAAGTCGTTATGTTTAAAAAAATATCTACCATGAAATAAACAGTTTTTTGTGTCTCCTGAACAATTTAGTTTTCTGGACATGTGCCCTTTTTATATTTAGTGATTCAAATAAAGTTTGGATAGTAAAGGGTAAATATTTAATCACAAACTAGTGATGTTGATACATAGGATTTGCTACAATTAACAGTCGAAATGATTCTCACACCAGAGGTAGCAAAAGCAGAATGGGATACGTACAATATCTCTATACTTCGAGTTTAAGCAATGAAGATGAAAATAGCACAGATTTTACATTAGGTCAATTCGTGATTCACCTGAACTTATAAATAAGGATAGGATCTACATAGAACTAAAGAAACTGTCATAGTGAGGGGAGAAAAGAACAAAAAAGTAATGAAAATCAGCATGAGATTATTGAGGAATAATTGTTAGAGCAAATGACAAAAAAATATCTATGCGCTGCATATTTGCTATTAATAGGAATAACTGCTTTTTTCACATTGAATTAATGCATGCATTATTTTGATTGGAATTTCAGTTGAAAATGGGACACTGTTTCTATATAGCTCTTTAGACATGTTCAAACTTAAGTCAATAGGAATTTATTGATGGATTCCATTCTACGATAATATTATAATGATATCAGACCGCACAAGGAAAAATGAACTGGAAAATTAGGACTTGGCATTGTAGGAAAGTGGCAAAAACTCGATACTTCAGCTGCATTTTACTCCTCTTAAAGTTTCGTGCTAAATGAACAGCCGTGTCAGAAATCATACATGCTCCTAAATAATTTTAGATGGGTTTTAAAAATTGAGCCTGAAGCCAAGGTGAGGGCCGACCACAGGCGAAACGCATAACTCCCTGTTCTCCTTGATATGCTAGACTGGATCATAGCTAAAAAGTCCCATCACACTGAGGACGGCCTTTCCTTAAACCATATAAATCAGAGGTTGTTAAAATTTTTTGAAACATTTAACAATGATCTGCAGAAGATCAGCCCTTTTCAGCAACTAATACATGACATAATGTATTGCTTGACTCCCTGCTTCGTGAAACACTGGTCTAGACTCTGACTCTTCACCTTCATATTGCATAATTAATAAACTGCTTTTTATATCCTCAAATTTTAATGAGAGGTTGGTTAATCTTGCGTCACAACAGTCCAAAAAACCTGAATCACTATAAACAAGGTGCTTCAGAGCTACTTTTCAACTTCACGAAAGAAAAATGGTACCATGAAGAGAGTACGAGACATAAAATATACAAACAACACTAGCTACACAGTAAATTGACAAGGGTAACCTTAAGCTTCATTTTCATGGCTAGTCCATTTACTACGCAAGAACGAAGAAATATTCTCGTAAGCTACAAAAGTGATAATTGTTGATGGAACCACCCGGATTAGACTAGGAGTAAGACCTTTGTAAAAACCCTTCCAGCCTTCTCTATCATAGGTTAATTTAACACAGTGTTTGAATCCTCTGTATCGACGGTGCTGGTCCTGCAGCCTTGATCGAATCACCTGGTATGGGAAAGTAAGACTTGAGGCAATGACCTTAGATACAGCCGCATACAAAATATATTCCTTAGTATCAAGTTGTGAATTGATTGGTCTTCCTTGCCTGACATTGGATGAACTTTTGAACTCTTCGTAAATCATAAATTGAATTGCTCCATGAGAAACGCCCAGCAGACCGGGCACAAATCCCTTGTATAGTCCTCGAAAACCTTCTTCTTCACAGATTTTGGCCATACAATCTCTCATGCCTGCATAGTGAAGTTGAGGATTTTTGTTCTGTTGCTGCTGAAGGCACAGTCGGGTTTTGGTTACCCAAATGGGGTTTGTTATGGCAAGCGTCACTGCACCTGCTGTTGATGCAGCAAGCATGTGCTTGAAAGGTCCAATATCTTTAGTTGCATCTCCGCCTTGCATTAAACTCTTCAGATCGCTATAGAAAAGGAAATAAAAACCCCACGAGAGACCACATCCAAAAAAGTTTGGATAGGCACCTTTAAAAAAGCCCTCCCAGCCTTCTGTTCTATAGATTGATTGTACCGTTTGCTTTAATCCTAGGTGCTTGCGATCAGGAGTCCTGTCATCACATACTGAGAATCTAATTTTTAGGAGGTCGAGTGGATGAAGAATGAGAGTTGATGCAACACCTCCGGAGACTCCTGCGACAAAATGAGTCAACTTCACATAGTCTACAAAAAAAGTTTCTGGAAATTCTGGAATGTCCTCTTCATTCTCTTCAGTTAATTTCATGATGTAATGGGTAATGCTTTCATACACACAACACTAAGTCACTTGGTGTTAAACTATCCTTGAACTCCAAAGAGTCGGGAGGTTGAAGTTAGTTGAGAAATAATAACAAGAGATGAAAACGGCAAGCGAACTGACGAAACTAAGGACGAATTTCAATCATTATCGAGGGAATGAACTTTCAACTTCAGGCACGAGACAGGCAAACTGCGTTCATGAGAGACCGGAGACATGCAACATAACCTAAAAATGTAAACACGTAGAGGAGTAGAATAGAAAAACTAAACGAAACTTACAATGATTGGAGCGCTTGTTTCTGCTTTTCTGGCAGGACGAACCATGCTGAGTTAATTTAACACATAAACTGATATTGATGATCGGCCGAGCGAATGTTAAAAAGTTAACTAATTCATTACGCGCATTCTGGCTTGGTGATGGAACGTTGAGGCTGTGGCTGGTTGCGGCTAGAGTCCCTTGCGGCAGCGAGAAAATGAAGACGAAATGAGATCAATTATCCTCACAGAGCTTAACTTTGGTAGAGCAGGAGTGAGAATTTAGAACAAAATCTACGATATGAAAGGGTAGTGGGGTAGATCCATATTTTGAAAACGAAATTTGACGTTCGTGAGGAGGGCTGAAGGAGACGTTGACTACGGTAACAGTGTTGTCTAGCTGTCAATAATTTTCATAGATTTTTGTAATTTGAAATTTCGATTGAAAAAATCAACTTGAAAGATATTGCCTTAAAAAAAAATTGAAGTTTTACTAATATCATATGATGGAAGTCAATCTCCTTCTCCTTCTTCATTTGATTCGTTTGGTAATAGTAATAGTAATAGTAATATCGTTGTTGTAAATATCTAAAATGCAGCTGACTTGGCAAACATAGACTATAGTGTAGGGGGGGAGGATTGCCGCGAAAATGAAGGAGCACCATGTTTACCATGACCATGTTATGTGGTTGCCGTTGCATTGCATTTTGCATTTGCATTATTGTTGCATGCATGCAAGGTCAGGGACTGCTGGCATGGATGAATATATACTAGCTGGAGACAGGATTCTACTAGACAGGACTTGTGAAGGAAAAGGAGAAGGTCAACAAATCAAATCAGGTGAGCTCGCGTATTCTGACTTATTTCGGTCGATTTTGTTTGATTCGTAATCTCAAGTTTTAACGTACAGATCAATGTTCTAATATATCTGTATGTATTGACATGCACTGAAACCATTCATTACGGTCCCAGCATTGTTGTCTCTCTCTTCTCAACCGTGAGCTTCAGATGAAAGTACTCGCACAGTCTGATGAACCTTATTTTATAAATAATTGAAGACTCAAGACACAAATATCATTCTCATCTATTTCAGTCGCAGGTACACGCTTGTTCAGTAGACGCATCATAACTTGTCAAGTCATTCATGCTGACGATGTATTAAAGAGTGATCCATATTGAAATTGACTCTCAAGTATCCTCTTAGGTGTGATGCATTCACTGGCCACCATACTTTTTGCACTAAACCTATGGATCTAATTTCCACGTGCCCTAGAAGATCCTTTGCCTTGATTTTAGTATGACATTAAATGCAAGAGTCAAGATGTCAAAGTTGCTCTCTGGACTGACAAAAAGTTCAATAATTGGCCCACAGAGCAACATTCAGATAGTACCATTTATGAGTGAGAGCACATGCCCAATAAGTTTAGACATTTCTAGAATTCAATAGAAGATTGTTTGATGTCATGTGTACTTGTAAAGTTAATGGGAGAATCAAGATCGCGGATCTTCGGTCACAGTCTAAAAGTGTATAAACTTATTCAGCATGGACTCTACCATGGACCAAGACTTAACCTGTGCCCTAACATACGATGAATGAGCTTCGAGGAATACTTAATATGCATCAACCAAGAAAGACTATAGGTACTTTTGAGTCTGAGTTCAACTGACTTCAGAATGACACCTACACATTCAGCGGAGTAAATTTTGGGTGTCTTACCTTCAGATTTTTCCTCAGTAATGAGATTAACATTATAGAGGCCACGACGAAGCATTTCAGCATTCAACAGCAGCTGATTTTTTCATCAACCGATCATAATAAATGTAGTACATTTTGCAATTGAACTAGATACTTACGGTTTAAAAAAATCAGAAACTATTATTTTGGTTCATTTCAGAAACAGCAGTGATGACTATCATTGGAAAATAGGTATCTCTGCTTGTAACTGTGAAAATTCTGCGTCTCAACAGTGTAACTCCCAAGTGACGCATCTTGTTTGCAATGTCTAAAATGCTCGGTTTTATTTTATTTTTTCACAGAAAGTGAAATCAATAACATTCATTGAAGATTTTTAAGAATTTAAGTATGAAATTGTAATTAATTTTTTTCTTCTTTTTCTTATGGAAGTCCAGGAAAACTTAGGAAATTTCAGCGCCAGGGGTCAGGAAGTGTTTCAAGAAAGTCAGGGAATTTTGAAATTTGATAAAACACCAATGTCTTGGAAAAATTTTCAATATTTCTTTAATTCGTCAGAGAAGTTCGTTCGCAATCTGATCTAAATATGCTGCTATACTTACTCAATTTTCTAAGAAGGATATACATAACTTTCCCTAAAAATATGGAACCACTTTTTAAAGAGACATTTGGCAACATTCGAAAGTTCATATTTACGGCGTTTTTTCATAGGTAGTGTGGCTTTACGTGTCTATCAATTTATTGATAATTCCTCAAATGCATTAGATCGTCAGGATAGGTAGAAACATCTAGGATATTCCGATTAAACGGTAGATGCAACCTAATTGACTGTGGTGTAGGGTTGGGTTGCATTGCCAAATTTGAAGGCGAACTTCCGTTGCGATTTTGTTCTCACGCGGCGCACACGGGATCGAGTCAATCAGAGAGGTCGGACTTGAAATTTTTGACTAAAAATGCGAAGACGTTTCTTTCGTCACACTTTAAATTTTAAGAGCTGCTCCCAGAAGAAAATTTGACTAGGAAACCACTGGAACCACTTTTAGAACCTCGAAGTTTTGTATAAATGGAGTTATTAGCTTTCAAAGTTTCCAAATTTTGTCCGACCTCACCTATTGACTCGATCCACTGTGCGACGTGGCCAGGTGCGGCGCGCCCTGAGTTAAGAAATTTCGTGAAAGATTATAAGAGGAAATTTCATGAGGAAATTTCAAGAAATTTCATGAGGAAATTTCAAGAAATTTTATGGGGAACAAAGAAATTTCATGAAATTTCTTGTGAAATTTCACGAAATTTCATTCGATGAAATTTCTTTTAGCAACTCTGCCCGCGTCCGACTGACACCCTGTATGTACTTATCGCTGAATTTATTCCTTCCTACCTATATCCGTCGACCTTTATTTTGCGATAAGGAGAATTTGTAGTTTAGGGATGCAAACTAAAATTGCTGAGGAAAATCGGCGTATCAGGGTCGCAAGGGGCAGGAAACCGTGGAAAAGTCAGGGTATTCGAAAACAACCTGGAAAGTCAGGGAAGTCGTGAAATTGTTCTCAGAGTCGGGGAAATTCTCAGGGACACGCTGCCGTGCTAAGGAAAAACGCCTTATGAACCTTCAGGCGTTGCCAAATTTCCTCTGGTAAACCGCTAATTTTCAGGAAATTTTTTAATTATTTTCCTGCCGATTTCTAAGATATTTTTGCTTGTAATTTGATCTAAATAGTCTGAAAATTTCAAGGAAAAATATTCACAAGTTTCCTCAACAAAAATAAACATTTTATCGTAGGAAATTTGGCAACTCTCGAATGTTCATACGGCGTTTTTCCTTAGCACGGTTGCGCGTCAGCGTCGCCAAGTTTCCGGGAAATTCATGCCGCTAAGTAAGTCCCGCGAGTACTGAAGCCGCGATCTGTGCACCAGTTTAACTCGAAGGGATCTAAGTATATTAACGCCTTTTTGCTCTTGATTAGTTTTTTGCCTTTTCCTTTAATTTTTCTCATTCAGGCATGGAATAATTCATATTATTTCCAGGCAGCACGCAGATTGCCTTATTCGGGTTTTTTGTAAGTGTTAACTTGGTGGAAACATCCTGAATACTTACAGCCAATCAGTGGATACAACTTGAGTAAATTCAGTGCGGGGTTGGGTTGCATCGCCAAATTTGAAGGCGAACTGGTGTAGTGATGTTATTTTCAAGGAACGCGGCTAGGCGCGGCGCCCTAACCGTTGCGTTTTACGTAACACCGTCATCCGTATTCCATGATGAAGAAAGATTTGTATGTAAACGTTGATAACTAGTTAGTTAGTTATTATAATTTTAAGACATTCAGCGACTCAGGCTATTAACGTCTTTACAGATAATTTTGAAAATAGGAGTATAAACGAAAATTTAGATTTTTAAATTAAGAGAGGTGAAGAGTTTTAGAATTTTGGTGGTAATATTAGGTTCATCGCATGTAAGAGGGTTTGTATTTCTGTTGATTGTAGGGGAGTAGATCTGTGATCAGAGATATCGGAGGGAAGAGCAGTCCATAAGTATGTGTTTGATGGTTAGAGGTGATGAATTGCAGAAGTGGCAGATGGGTTGGTTTTCTTTAGATATGATATGCTTGTGAGTGAAAAAAGTGTGACCTATCCTGAGACGCGCAATTTGGACTTCATATGTTGCCTTACTAAGGGGATTGGTATACATATGAACCTTCGGCTGTTGCCAAATTTCCATCGTTACAGGACAGATTTGCTGGGAAATGTTCGATTTTTCGAGAAGTTTGTTGACAATCTGATCCAAATCATCCTAATTTTCATATAATAACATTCGAAACTTTCCTTGATAATCATGTACCTTTTCGAGAAAATTTGGCAACATTCGGATGTTTATATTCCTTAGCGTGGGTTTCTTGTGTGTCAATTTATTAATAATCATCAATTGTTAGTAACACATCGGATGTTTAAAAATGTGTGCGACAAATGCTCCAAATTCAAGAGTAAACCAGTAAACCAGATAGAAGCTTTCCCTGGTTTTGTTTGAAAGACAAGCCTAATGGCTCTCTAGTATAAGATCAAGGTCAACTCATTTGGTTGTAATTTAAAAAGTTTTGAAGATTGCAAAGCGATTGGCGTGTGGCCGCCTGCGACTTTTAATAAGGATTTTCGCTCATCCGTCCCCAAAATTACTGTCCAGTGCGATGTTACGCCCAGAACAACTTGGCGACCCTTAAAACTACTTGACGACATTTTACCGTAGTCATCCGTCTAGGAGATCAAAGGATCCTAAGGGCGACTAGCCTGGCTGCCTGGTCGTCAGATCGCACCCCGAAAATCGGGATAATCTCCAGTGCCGGATTTAGGGGGTGGCCACATGGGCCGCGGCCCATGGCGGCAAATTTTGCAATTTTTTTAAATGTAGGTATTCAAAAAATCGGATACAGAAAAAAAACTACAAACGAGATAAGGCAACAAAATCTCTTATTTCCTGAGAGTGTAGTAATTTCTATTTTGTCGTCTTTCGGTGATACAAGAGACAACGCGGCGCAGAGAGCAATGATGACGAGGACTTGAGATAAAAAGAAGCCCTCAGCGCGGCGCGCGGCGGTCGGCATTAACACATACCTAGTAGCGCCTACAAAACTGCGTGAATACTTCACGCATTGCGTCGAAAACAGTGCGGTCAGCAGCGATCGGCGTGATACGCACAGCGCCTAC